GGACTCACTTACCAGCCAGCAGCTGCAGGAGCTGGAGGCCACCTTCCAGCGGAATCGCTACCCGGACATGTCCACCCGGGAGGAGATCGCCGTCTGGACCAACCTCACCGAGGCCAGGGTTAGGGTAAGTCCCGACACGACACCCCGGCCCCGAGCAGCGGGGTTCGGAGAGGGGAGGATGGGGGGGTGGGGAGGAGGAGGAGGGCTGAAATGTTTGCAGCTGCTTTCGATTTCGGTTTGTATGCAAACTTCAGAGCCTTTGCACAAAAGCAGGGCAGAGCAGGACATTTCTGTCAAAGCGAGACAGATTGGGATCTCTCTCTCTCTCTCCGGAATATGGTTTGCTGCACGTTTCGCCCTCACCGTGCAATGCGTCCCGCTCCTTTTGATCGAAACGCTAATGAAAACATTAGCCAAGAAAGCAACTTGGAACAGGCTGCAACCTGCGCTGCCCCTAATGAGAAAAAGATGTAAAATACACAAGGGCTTTTACTTTACTCCGAGGCGCTCCCGACGTGCCCTTCCTTGCATTTTCTCTTTCTTTTGGTTTCACAATTCGACGAGCGTCTCTCTCCGCCCTTTCCCCCCCACCCTCCGAGATTTATGGGACCATCACGGCGCTGTAGAGATACCGAGGCCGGATCCTGTTCGCATGCAAACGCCGCGCTGGGACGGGGAAAAAATAAAAATACACACACAAAAAAAAGCGCCCCCAAACGGGTCGAAACCCCAGAATTTCGTAACTCTCACATAAATCCTCTCCCTGCGGTCGTTGCGGGAAAGCGAGAGAGTGAGAACCGAGGGCTGCAGCGAGCGGGGTCGGCTCTCCGCCCCGGGCCGGCGGTGTGCGGGGCCCGGTCGGGGCTGGTGCGTCGCCGGAGCACGAAGCGGTGTCGGTCGCGGCGCGGTTTTTGCGGGGGGTATGGGGTTGTTTAGTTTCGGGCGGTGCGGTGCCCAGCAAGCCCTGATCAAGGACCAGTGTGTGTTGCAAGCAGAAAGTTTAATGTATGTCAGTTTGTTGAGTTTCCAAGACAAATAAATAAGGGTGGATGAAAGAAAAAGGAGAGATTATAATTAAGCAGTAAGTGGAGACTGGATTCAATAAAGAGCCCATTTGGTTTCCACGCTGCAGAAGCCTGCGCAGACCCAGACAAATTGATTTTTCTGTGGCTTTTGCGGACTCCTGTGGCAGGAAGCTGGATAGATTTTCTTTTTTTTTTTAATGTGTTTTTTTTTTTTTTTGTCTTCCTCCCCCCGATTTTTTTTTTTTCTTTTTTTTTGCCAAAGAGCAGTCGAACAAGTTTGTTTAGAAAGTGGTTTTCGGCTCTGGAAGCTTTCGCGCAGGAGGAACTTGTAGCTTTAACAAACTAAAACAAGGATTTATTATTTGCTGGCTTCCCCTTCCTTCCTCGTAATAGGAAACATCGCCTTAAAATTCCGCGGGTTTCCAGGCGTTTTGCCCTCGCTTTTGCACTTTTGTATTTCCCCTGGATGGCTCCAGTGTGGAATAAGCCAAAGGAAGGGGGGCGAATTATGCTGGGGAGTGCGGGGGTGGTGGTGGTGGGAGAGGAGGGAATGGCGCGGTGGCGGATCTGCCTTGCTAAACCCCGGCGGCACCGGGGTCCGGGGGATACTCTGCGGCCCCGGCAGCGCAACGCTGCCCCGGCCCAGTGCGGGGCCCGTAGAGGAGGAGGCGAGCCTATATGTGTATATACACACACATATATGTACATACACATTTTTAGATATATATATGTATATACGGACATGCTCCGAGGGCGAAGGGCTGCGGTGGCAGTGGTGGTTCCTGACTAACTCGCGTCTCGCATCTCCCTCCCTCCCTCTCCCCCCGTTTCCAAAGGTTTGGTTCAAGAACCGCAGAGCCAAATGGAGAAAGAGAGAAAGGAACCAGCAAGCCGAGCTTTGCAAAAACGGCTTCGGTCCACAGTTTAACGGCCTCATGCAGCCCTACGATGACATGTACCCCGGCTACTCGTACAACAACTGGGCAGCCAAGGGCCTGACCTCCGCTTCACTCTCCACCAAAAGCTTTCCTTTCTTCAACTCCATGAATGTCAACCCTCTGTCTTCTCAGAGCATGTTCTCCCCTCCAAACTCCATCTCCTCCATGAGTATGTCTTCAAGCATGGTACCCTCTGCAGTCACCGGGGTCCCCGGCTCCAGCCTCAACAGCCTGAATAACTTGAACAACTTGAGCAATCCCTCCCTGAATTCTGCGGTGCCAACGCCAGCCTGTCCTTATGCTCCTCCAACACCTCCGTATGTTTATAGGGACACATGTAACTCGAGCTTGGCGAGTCTGAGACTTAAAGCCAAGCAGCACTCCAGTTTTGGCTATGCCAGTGTGCAAAACCCCGCTTCCAACCTGAGCGCTTGCCAGTACGCGGTGGACAGACCCGTGTGAGACACCCAAGTAGGAAACACTGCATGGGAATCCCTCCCCATTTCCCGCAGAGACTGAGAATTACACTAGAAAGTAATGGGCACTATAGAGAAAGAGAAAGGAGGAAAAAGCAGACACAGAGAGAGAGGAAAACAGAGAGAGAGGAAAAAAAAGAGGAAACCACTGAAATAAGATAGTTCCTTTGTTTTCAAAGGACCTCCTACAGATTCTGAGATCTTTCTTTCACTAAGAGTATTTCAGCAGTTACAAGGACATATATATATATATGGACAAATGTTTGACTGGATATGATATGACATTTTAATGTTACTATAAGCTTGTTATTTTTTAAGTTTAGCATTGTTAACATAAAAATGACTGAAAGGATGTATATATATCGAAATGTCAAATTAATTTTATAAAAGCAGTTGTTAGTAATATCACAACAGTGTTTTTAAAAGGTTAGGCTTTAAAATAAAGCATGTTACACAGAAGCGATTAGGATTTTTTCGCTTGCGAGCAAGGGAATGTATATACTAAATGCGACACTGTATGTTTCTAACATATAATTATTAAAAAAACCCAACCATTGTGTGAATATCAGTTTTAGAATAGTACCTCTGGTGGATGCAATGATGTTTCTGATATTGCAATGTAAAACATGCCCTGTGTATAACATTTCGTACAATATTATTGTTTTACTTTTCAGCAAACATGAAAAAAAATGTGTTTTATTTCATGGGAGTAAAATATACAGCATACAGTTCTGTCTGGATTTTTATTTACTGAGCCAAGCTGCGCAGCGGTAACTGGTCTGCAGTGATTGACTGATCGTTGACACTGGATCACGTTCTCTGGAAACACAGGGCAGTACTTTTTATTGCAATACAAATAAATACCGGCATTTTTCACTCTTAAAAAAAAAAAGGAAAAGAAAATTCCCTCACGCTGAAGTTGCGTGCTAGAGAAACGCGGGGCTTGGACACGCTGCCTTCGGGGCAGCGGGATCCCTTTATTCCTCTGTGCAGCCTCGAGAAAATGGATTATTCGACATCGTTGGCCTCGAGAATTACCAGCCACAAAGTTGCTGTATCTCGAGCATAAATTTCTCCCGCTGTGAAGGAAGCTTTTATTACATTAAAGAACAGGGAAGGGGTGGGGGGAAGAAAAAAAAAACCCCGCCAGTTTGCAAACAAACCGCTCCTGTTCAAAATAATCTGTCCCCTTTGCCGCCCCCTGCGCTCACCTTCTCCCTTCAGCGGGGAGATCCTTCATGTAATATTACATTTCTGCTTCCAAATCCCCCTTTCAGACGTGAAGAGAAACAAAGAGCAGCCCAAATAACCGCAACCCCGCGGAGCGCGGGGGTTGAGAGGTTAGCCCCGAGTTTCCTGCGACTTCGTGCTGCAACACGTCGTTGAAGGGAAAGGTCGTGCTCTCGTGTGTTTTGTTTTAAATAATATCGACCCATTCATTCTCAACCTGCTTGTTCCTGAAATTATACAGGATTATAACTTTGCCGTCGCCGGACGATTGAAACAAATCAAGATGAATTGCTGCTTCGGCCCTCCCCGTCGCCTCACACCCCGGGCGGGCGAGGAGGGGCTGGCGGGGGCG